ATGGGCGAACAGGGCGCCATGATCATGTTCGAGTTCATGATGGGCGAGGGCGACGAGGCCATGATGTACAAGACCGCGTCCGACCCCGGCGAGGTCATGGTCGGCATGCCCGGCGTGCCCAAGATCGCCAGCCTCATGGCCCAGGGCGACGGTATGATGGTAATGCCGGCAAAGCCCACCACCCCCGGCTCCACCACCGTCACGCCGGTGCAGCCGGTAGTGCCCGTGGTACCCACCAAGAGTGTCGAGGACATCGTCGATGCCGCGCTCGCCGAGGCCATGGCCGCCGCCATGGAGGGCATGTCCATGCCCAAGGACGGCCAGGACGGCAAGAACGCGAAGACGGCGAAAACGGTAGAAACGGCACCAACGGCACCAACGGCACCAACGCACCAACGGCGAAGATGGAGCCGACGGCGAAGACGGATCTGACGGCGCCAAGGGCGACGCCGGCCCCTCCGGTGCCGCCGGACCTCCGGGACCCGGCGGTCCTGACGGCGCCGATGGCGCAGCAGGCGGAGGCGGAGCCCTCGCCATTGTTGCCCTGATCACGCCATCGTAGGCGTGCTCGCCGCAGGCGGTGCCTTCATAGCAGGCCGCCAGGGCATGCATGACCCCCACCCAACCAAGTAGGAATCTGGTTGTTCTCTTTTGTGTCACTGGCAACATCCTCCCCGCAAGTCAACACACCAAGGGTTCGCCACCGAGTGCCCCGTCGCTCAGCAATGAGTCCTCTAACTCGTTTAAAATAATATTGAAAAATAAACCATAATAAGCCAACATAATAACTGGATAATAATTGGCTCTGCGATCGGAGGTGCGGACGTGAGGTCGAAGTGGGCGGTGTGGCCGCTGGCCGTAATGGCGATGATGCTGGTTCTGGCAATGGTAGCCGCCGCGCCGGCACAGCAGGAGGACAAGCGCCCGTCGCAACCCCTCCTCCAGGACTACTACTCCGGCACCGTCCAGTCCCAGGCACCACTGCGTGCGCCCATCTGCGCACATCCCTCTGTCGCTCCTGCTTCGTCTCCGTGCGAGGCCTACAGTCTCCATTTCGTCCCTCGCCATCACTCGCCGTCAGCGAGCCGTCGCACTCGCATGGTCTTCTCGCACTTCCTTTTCACTCCGCCGCCGAGCCGCCTTATGATCCGTCCGCGACGTGTACCCATGCCACTGATCACCAGCTTCTGCATCATCCATTCGTGGCGACCAGACCGACGAGTTCTACGGAGTCTAACACAGTCAGACGACCTCTCCATCACGCCAGCCTCACTTCTACCGACCCTCTTCCGGTCCCAGCACGCCGGCCACCCCGACGCCGGAGCCCACCGCCACGCCTGAGCCCACGCCAACCCCCGAACCGACGCCCATCCCGGAGCCAACGGCCACCCCCGAGCCAACGCCCATCCCCCAGCCTACCCCGACGGCCATCCTCCCCGTCACCGGCGACACCATCGTAACCCGCATCCCCCCGCTGGCCATCATCGGCGGAGCCGCCCTCACCATCGGCGGCCTCATCCTCCTCTACGCCGCCGCCCGCCGGGCCAGCCGCAGCAGCCTGTTCCGCCGCACCTGACCACAACGCAGGCACCGGAACAAGCAGAGGGCGCGGGACCAAATCCCGCGCCCTCGCTCGTTCCACCAGCCAATGCCTCCCCGCCGCCTACCCCTCGGGTACGAGAACAGATGGGAACAAACATGAGAACATTATATAGCAAAAACAGCTCTGGGGAGTGCGGGTGGGATAGGGTGTGTGGTCGGAAAGGGAAGGAGGGCGGGGGAGGGGAGGAAAGGAAGGGAGTGAAAAAAGGGGGGTGAGGAAGAAGGGAGAGAGGAGAGAGAGGGGATATAGGGGCGGGGGGAGGGAGGGTAGGGGGGGAGAAATAGTGAGGAGGGGAGTAAGGAAGAGAGGATAGGGGGGGGGCCAGAGTTAACTTCGGCTCTTTTGATGCCCTCTTCTGTCTGCGGCCGCCAACTATCCTGCAAACCCCGTCCCTCTCCTGCCTCCACGCACCTTGCATACCTTTCCCGTTTTTGTTGTCCGATGCACTTTGACAGTCATGAGGGTTGATCCTTTGAATTTGTTGCCGTTCTTCTCTGCTTGTTTGTGGATTACTTAAACTCCGCGCCTCATTTCCCCTCCTTAGCCTCCTCCCCGATCTTTTTTGTCACACGAACCAGTGAGAAATCTTTGCTTTCCCGTGAGTACCATGCTGTGGGGACCTGCGTTTGATCTTGATCTGCTCCCGGCTGTCGTGGCCGCACTGTGCGACGCTGCAGGTCACTCTGTCACTTTTGCGAACATGCTGCCGTAGCGACATTCCCGCGTTCGATTACCACTCAGCCGTTGCTTCTTCTGCCTCTTCTACTCCTCCTGCACTCTCAGTCGTTTCTCGGTGCCTTGGCTTCGTGTGGTCAGGTGCGGCGTGCCGTAAGGGGGTGCCCGCGATGACGGCTGGCACCTGCGCATGCGCGAGCTGCGAATCAGACCCTGTGCTGCCATGTCCAAAGTGCATCGGGACCACAACCTTGGGATCAAGGTCCTGGATGGTCTGGAGTGCCAGGTCAAGAGGGAGGGTGCAGTGGCCGCCCGCCGGCACATCGCCATGGGGGGGGGGTGGTGGGGTGGGTGGGGGGGGTGTGGGGTGGGGGGGGGGGGGGGGGGGGGGTGGGGTGGTGGGGGGGGGGGGTGGTGGGGGGGGGGGGTGGGGGGGGGGGTGGTGGTGGGGTGGTGGTGTGGGTGTGGGGGTGTTGTTTGGGGGGGGGGGGGGGGGGGGGTGGGGGGGGTGGTGTGTGTGTTTGGTCGGGGGTGTGTTTTGTTTTTGGGGGTTGGTGGGTCTTTTGTGTGTTTTGTGTTTGGGGGGTGTGGGGGGGGGGGGGGGGGGGGTGGGGGGGGGGGTGGGGGGGGGTTCCACCGGCCTTGAGCTCCTCAAGCTGCCGAGTGGTCAGCGGACGGGACAAGTCCCCAAGGTGGCACACGCTGATGCCGTCCATCTCGATGGTGAAGGCGACATTGCGGTGCTCGTGCGGAACACCCTCAGGCAGGGGAGTCATCACGCCGCGGACCATCACGTCGCTGAACTCATACTCTCCCGGCGCCCGGAACACCCGCGGCTCACCAGCCACAGTAACCTCGGCCGAGTGGTTCGGGTGGGTGTTGCTGACGGTAACGATGGCCGCAGCCCGACCGTCCATTCGCAGCCCAAGCGAATCAGGGTACGGGTCCGTAACCACCACCATGCCCTGCGAATGCAGGCGGAAAGATGAATGTCCCAGCCAGACCATGTCCATACCGCGCCTCCCCCTCCAGTCCTTACAGCCACCGGTCGCGGTATGAGCCGCGGCCACTGTAGCCGTCATCGTCGCCACGCAGCCAGTTGGCCAAACCCCACGCCCCAGGGATCAGCATGGCCGCGAAGAACAGCTTGATCAGGTCGCCGGCAATGAATGGGTACAGTCCCCACGCCAGCGTCTTGCCTTCAGGAGCAAACAGCGACAGCTGGATCAGGCCCGGCACATATACCAGCGCGTTGCCCACCAGCAGCACCGGCAGGATCCAAACGCTGCTGCCCAGACCCCGCTCGCACAGAAACCCGACCAGCCACGCGGCGGCGATGAATCCTATGATGTAGCCGCCGGAAGCCATCTGCCAGAAGAATCCGGAGCTGCCGGAGCTGAACCCGAATGCGTAGTCACCCACGCCCACTTGCCAGATGTAGCCGTCGGCCGTACCGGCGTAGGCCGGCAGAAACATGCCTATCAGCAGATACACGCCCAGCGATGAGGCCCCGCGCCAACTCCCGAGAGCCGCGCCGGTAACCAGCATGGCAAAGGTCTGGCCCGTGACAGGCACTGGGGTGAAGGGGAGATGGACGGAGAACCGCGCCAGGAGAACCACGAACAGGGCGAATCCAAAGATGAGAAGGGCGTCCCTGGCCACCCGTGCCCGAAATTCCTCAACAGGAAGAACCACATCCGCCAGGGCCGCAACACCAGACTGATAAGACACTACACACCCGCCCAAAAAACTGACGGCCGCAGAACCGGAAACGACCGTCCAATGAGTATAAATCTCGTCAAAAGATGGGTCAACGAACCGCTCAGTTGAGAGCCGCAAAATCCTGCCGGAAGTCAAGGGTAGGGGCAGACGGGCAGGACGATTGCAAAGTCGCGGAGGGAAGTTTATACAGACAGGGAAGTGAGATATGGGAGTGTGCGGATATGGAGGCGGCGGAATCTCTGTTCGGATGTTTGGAACTGGTGCCGGATCCCAGGAGGGCCAGGGGAGTCCGGCATCCCTTTCAGGCCATCCTCCGACTGACCCTGCTGGGCTTGGTTTGTGGTCAGACCACCATGGCCCACATCGCCCTCTTCGCCAAGATGCACTGGCCGGTGCTGAGGGAGCCTTTGGGCTTTGTGCGGGACCATCCGCCCCACGCCACCACCATCTCCCGCACCCTGGCCGGGGTCCCTTATGAGCAGCTGCAGGGCGCCCTAGCGGGATGGGTGGCCCAGGTGGTGGCGGACCAGGAGGTGCACGCCTCGGTGGACGGCAAATGGGCCAAGCAGTCCGAGGACGTAAGCGGCAATCCTCTGGTGATGGTGAACGTACTGGCCCATGACCTGAAGCTGTGCCTGGCCCAGTGGCCGGCATCGGAGAAACGGTACGAACCCGGGGTGTTGCGGGAACAGCTGGGGCAACTGTTCGAGCGCTATCCCGGCCTGAGGCTGCTGACCATGGACGCTCTCTATGCGGAGCGGGACCTGTGCCAGGCCATCGTGAGCCACGGACGGGACTACCTGGTGCGCATTAAGGGGAACCAACCCCAGGTGCTGGCGGCATTGGCAGAGGGATTTGCTGGGGAGGGACCGGTGGAGCCCGAGGCGCAGAGCGTGGAAAAAAAGCGGGCGTGATCGAGAAACGGCGCATCTGGACCGATGAGGCATTGGCCGGCTATATCCGGGATGAGTTGGGCTTTCCAGGAGTGAGGCAGGGTGTGATGTTGGAGAAGGAGAGGGTGGACATAGCCACCGGGGAGGTGAGCCGGGAGCGCTGGTATCTGCTGACCAGCCTGAGTTCCCGTCGCTGCGCACCCAAAGAACTCCTTCAAGTGATCCGCAACCACTGGAGCGTTGAGAACAGCCTGCATCACGTTAAAGACCGCAGTTGGGACGAGGACGTCCACACGCTGCGCCGTCCGGGTCTGGGCGAGGTATACGCCAGCCTGGTCAACACAGCGCTCAACGCCCTGCGCCTGGAGGGATGGTTTCCCCTCCAGATGTCCATGCCCCTGCGAGCCAAGACCTGCGCCTTCCGCCCAACCCAGACCATCGCCCGCCTCCGCGGCTAAATCTCCTGACTTTGCAATCGTCCTGGCAGACGGGTAAGGCTAACTGCGATACGTTTTGCAATAGCCGCTGTCGCCCATGGTTCCAGCTTGCCAAGAGCCAGCCTGTGGCAGGACTACCCTTTGGAGCTGACGCTGCACCCGTTGCAGTAAGAGCCTTCTGCGTCCTCAATAGAGGCGGTACAGGAGGTATTCGACTACATGCTCGGACCCGCATCCCCTGTCGGTTTATTCGCATTCGGGTGGCTAGTCAAGCATGAAATGCCACTTGCAATAGAGATTGACTCCAATCAGTACCTGTGCGGGACCCAGCACCGTTATGGTTACGCACACAGTTCTTACTGCGTATGGTCTGTCCTTGCTTGAAGACAGACCCCCTACCCACAGCATTTTTGTACGCAATGGCGGGAAAGGCTCATTCGGTAACAGGGTCAGTACCGACTCCTCAAGCTTAATCTAATTTGGTGCATGGATTGGGGCCCACCACATTGGTGTCTGTCTTCGCTGAGCTGAAATAACGGTCTTCAGCGTCAGAGGAAGCTTGGTATATCGGTCTGTTCTACTCATAAAGACTGACATGAAAACCGCAGGGCATAAATGATTCCCGATGGTGCCAATATCCACGGGGACAGGCGGCGGCGAGGCTCCACTAGCAGTCTGTCTGAGAAACAATGTTCTAAACGAATCTCGGCATCTACAAAGTTAATTATTCCGGTAACCGTTTTATTAGAGCCCCATTAGTCACCAATGTGATTAGTCAGTGGCGCTTTTCGTCGCCAAAATCTAATCCTCGGACACGCTGCTAGGAGGAATCGACAATTGATGAAAATTGGGTTGGTGTAACCAGGTCAGAGGACATACCGGGGAGGTAGAGTGTAACCCTCCCAAGTAGGTGTGGTGGAGGTTGTGCAGGTGGAGCGTTATGAGTTAAGCGCCGCTCAGTGGCACCTGATTGAGGGGTTCTTGAACGGTCGTCAGGGCTGGGTCGGCGTAACGGCCAAAGATAATCGGACCTTCGTTAACGGCGTGCTCTCGGTCTTGCGCAGCGGCGCCCAGTGGAAGGATCTGCCAGCACAATTCGGTAACTGGAAAAGCGTCCACAAGCGTTTCACCCGCTGGGCTAGGTCCGGGATCTGGGAGAGGATATTCCAAGTGTTGCTGGATGACCCGGACAATCGATACGTGATGATTGACTCCACCACAGTCAGGGTGCACCAGCAGGCAGCCTGTGGTAAAGGGGGGCCAAGGTGAGGCTCTGGGCCGCTCCCGGGGTGGACTGACCACCTAGCAGTCTGTCTGAGAGACAATGTTCTAAACGAATCTCGTCATCTACAAAGTTAATTATTCCGGTAACTGTTTTATTGGAGCCCATTAGTCACCAATGAGATTAGACAGTGGCGCTTTTCGTCTCCAAAATCTAATCCTCGGACACGCTGCTAGGTACACATGGTGTGCGACTCCCAAGGATGGCCGATACGATTCACTCTTACTGGCGGGCAGGCATCAGACGGGCCCCAGCCGATTCCGCTGTTGACCGGCATTGAGGCCGGAACGGTTATCGCTGGCAAGGGTTATGAGAGCAACAGGAGACTGGCGTTCATCCGGTCCGGGGGCACGACGGCAATCATACCGCCCAAGCGCAACAGAAAAGGAGCCTTGGGAATACGACCGGGAACTGTACCGCCAACGAAACCTGATCGAACGGGCACTCAACAGACTGAAGCACTAGCGCCGGATCGCCACCCGGTATGACCGGAGGAGCATCTACTATCTCGCTGCGCTCCATCTGGTCTCCTCGGTGATCTGGGGCCAACAAATGTTGATAAGCCCTAGTATTACAACGACGCTTCGCCAGAAAGGGGTTCTGAGCGCCTAATCATGGCGACCTGCTTATGCGGTTGACAGCTTTGTGGCCCTGCCTTCGGCAAAGCGAATTCCAGGCAAAGACTGACCAAATTGCGGAAGCATCGTTGTAATACTAGAAATCGGGCCGGAAAGTTCTCGTTGGGTAGAGACATTTGGGCAGTAAAGCCAGCGTGAGCAGAATCAAGGGCCACAGTAGTTCGAGGCGTACTGCGGAGAAACTGGAGGTAGCATTGGCGACAACAGAGGGGAGAGTATTCAGGACGACGCTGTGGCCTGTTGGGACGCCACCGGCCCGGCCCGACCGTTAGAGTTTCCCCGCCAC